CTGGGATCGCAAGGCTCATTCCTCATGCGTCACCGGCTTGCGTTGAGCTTCTAAACAAACTCCTTGCTTATAACCCGGATGACAGGTTTGTGAATTTGCTTGCAACTAAACATGTCAGAAATTTTTTTTGTAGCAGGATATCGGCCAGGCAGGCGCTGAGACATCCTTACTTCAAGGAGCTGCGCGAGAAGGAAAAGCTACAGCAGGCCTTTGCGAATGCTAACAGGGCTAACAGTCTGCGGCCGTCGCCAAGGTACTGGCAGAAAGCTCGGTTTCGCACTTTGTAAAACTTTTATCCATTGCAGTCATCGCAGACTAGCCATGCACGACGTTTCCCCTCAAAAGTCGAAAGACGAGGATGCAAAGCTGCAAGGCCTGGGGACTGGGAATCCGAGTGCCGCAAGCACACCACGATCAATGGCTAGTACACAGCTTCCGTGCCTCAACGTGAATAGCAAAGCTAAAGAGGTACTACGCTATTGTTTTGTCGTGAGGTTTTTCTCAGTTCCGTTTTAGCTTTCACAGGACGGGAAAGACACAGGTGGTTCCAGTCCTTTATCTCATGCTGGGGATTCACGAACGCCAGCGACGTTAACTTCTGTTAGCTCCGCTGTATCAGTGAATGTTGGTGGAGCTACAGACGCTGGGAGTTCTTGCATGGATTTAGACGGCGGTGGCGGCGGCGGGTGTAGCAGCTCTACTCATGGATTGCCACCGATCAAGAACAGCTATACGTTGTCCATGCTTTCTCCAAAGCCGCAGCTCTCAAGTCTACACAGGCACTCACATTATCATTCACCAAAGGTACTCCCCTTCTGTTTCTTTCTTTGAGACTGATGGTTTTGGCCTCAGGCACATAGTGTCAAAGGTGTGAAGATCGTGAAAGGCACCAAGAGCCACCGTGTTCTTCCGGAGCTATCGCCCAAGAGCATCTCCGGAGGATACAAGCCCGGGGAGCCGCCGCCTTACAAGAAGCGAGCCAATTCCAAGTAAGGGAGCGTCGTTTTGTTTGTTTCGCCAATCGATTCTCCAATCAATTTCTCACAAATGTTTGTCATTCCAGGTACACAAGTCCATACTCGCAAAAGTATATCAATCACCTCGCAGCGACATTGGTTTGACAAAAGAAAAATGCGAGACTTTTGCTTGCCATCGACAAAAAGGAAAAGCCAATTTTTCTCTGTATAATCAAACAAGGGAGACCACATTATATTTGTTGGCAGGAGAAGCAGAAAACTACGTGCAATTCATGGATAGGAATTACTGCCTCATTGGCATACTTTTTACTCTCATTCTTTTACCAGCGAGTCGCGCAGTAGATCTTCAATATGGCGGAATTCGAAGGCTAACAAGGCCAATCGCAACGATAGTAATGACAGCGATTAGAGACCTCATCCAAAAATCCACGAGATCGCCTTGGCTATCAATGGGCTATAGCTTCACACGGAGCATTCCTGTCGGAGGAGGATATTTCGTCCATATAAGGATTTGGATCACTGTTCCTCTTCGCAATGGGCTCACAGCCTTCGCTCCATCGTCTTTCCAAGAATCGACGCTGGAAATTCGGCAACAGCTCTTTGATATTCTCCGCTACGTTTGGGAGTTTGTGGTCGGCATGCGCATGGAATTTATGAGCGCCGTGGAGGGAATCTATGGAATCGAGTACCACCGCTCTACAAATCCCCGCGACGAGCTGCTCAGTGTTAATCACGCCGCTTATAATCGCTTCCAAAGCGTGGTTAGCAGTGGCAGCGAGAGCGTCTCTAAGACCAACTTAGTGAGTAATACCCCGTTTAAGTACCTGCGCGATTCGCTAATCTCCACCAGCCTTCGCTATAAGCTGGAGATGCGAGGCGGCTGTTACCTCGTGTTGTACGACACAGCTTTTCACAATGACATTTGGACCAGTGGCACGTACGGACTTGGCTATGGATGCTTCGTGGAGCTCGAGCCCAGCCCTAACCTGGCGATCTATGACGAAGGTGGGAAGCTTGTGAGGTATCTCTACGAATCTGGCTGTGACAACTGCGATCGATCGTCGGCGCTGGTCGTCCAGGACGATGGGAATGTGGTGCTCTATCTGACCGACACTGGCGAGGCGATCTGGGCTACCGGGACGAATCGCTAAGCCAGGAAATGGATTTTCTGTGAAAATATCCGAGCGATCCAGCGCTGAGGCAGGAAATCGATTCTTCTGTGAAAAAACTCGAGCAATCCAGCGGCATTGTTTCCCTCTCTCAAATGTTTACGCTGGGATCCTCTAGACGTGGCTCCCGGCGGGCGGCTCTCCGGATTTCCTCCGCCACAGCCCTGTAATCGGCGGCCTGTGCGACGATCACAGCTGTGAGATCGATCTGGGACGCAATCTACGTACTGTGTTGAGGCCGAATGCTCCGCCCAGGAGCCCTAGGAACCCACAAGCTCCAGCTCCCACGTAGAGCGTCGCGATCCCCAGGGCCTTGCTCGCGATCGCCGCTCCGGATCCATGCGCGCCGGAATGCTTGAGCTTCCTGGCAACCAACAGCTGTGAAATCGACAATCCCGAGTAGATTGCCGGCAAACAGCACGTATCGGCGGTCTTCGCCATAGCCAGAGCTTTAGGGTTTAGCGAAGACTTTATGGACTTTGATTGACTTTGCATTCAAAGAAAACTATTAGCAAAACCCTAAGTTCTATGATGTTATCAACTCAACTTGTGGCTGTAGCGATGAAATCCTGTTGTTCTGTGAGCTCAATTTTGAAATTTTTAAACTTTACAACAATAGACCAATTCTTTGTTTTGTTTCGCCAATGTATTGCTATATAAATCACCTTGCGTGACTTTTGTTAGGAAGAGCCCCATTTTCTCTGTCAATCAAACAAAGCTAAACAACAAAACAAGGAAAAAATTTCATCGTTGACAATAGCAAGTTTCGAGCAGATTATAAACATGTGGTATTAATACTAACTACATCCTCCATGGGGCGATTTAGTTGCATCGCCATAGTTCTCATTCTTATTTTCTCACCAGTGTGTGGAGTTTATATAGAATGGGGTGGCAGTAGTGCGCTATCGAGATCGATAGTAACCGTCATAGTTACTGCGATTAGAAATCTCATCGTGGTTAGCACAAGAAGGCCTTGGATATCAACAGCCTTTAGCATTACACGAAGCGTTCCTATCGGAGGAGGACACTTCGTCCATATAAGAATTTGGATCACTACCCCTCTTCGCAATGGCCTCACAGCCTTCTCTCCATTTTCTTCCCAAGTATCGGCTTTGGAAATTCGACGCGATCTATTGGATATTCTCCGCAACATTTGGGAAGTTGTGGTTGCAGAAGGAGTCGAATTTATGAGTGCCGTGGAGGGAATCTATGGAATCGAGTACCACCGCTCTACAAATCCCCGTGACGAGCTGCTTGGCGTTAATCCCGCCGCACACTACCAAAGCGTGCTTAGCAGTGGCAGCGAGAGCGTCTCTAAGACCAACTTAGTGAGTAACACGCCGTTTAAGTTCCTGCGTGATTCGCTAATCTCCACCAGCCTTCGTTACAAGCTGGAGATGCGAGGCGGCTGTCACGTCGCGTTGTACGACAGAGATTTGCGCGACGATATTTGGGCCAGTGGCACGTACGGACTTGGCTATGGATGCTTCCTGGAGCTCGAGCCCAGCCCTAACCTGGCGATCTATGACGAAGGTGGGAAGCTCGTGAGGTATCTCTACGAATCCGGCTGTGACAACTGCGATCGATCGTCGGCGCTGGTCGTCCAGGACGATGGGAATGTGGTGCTCTATTTGACCGACACTGGCGAGGCGATCTGGGCTACCGGGACGAATCGCTGAACAAATTCTCAGCCAGGAAATCGATTCTTCATCCAGCGGCATTCCATCTTTCACCTTGTTCATGCTCAAATCAAATTTGTTCACGCTGGGATTCTCTAGACGTGGCTGGCTCTTCCCCCACGGCCCTGTAATCGGCGGCCTCAACAATCTCTTGTTTTAGGGCTAAAGTTGAAGGTAGTTAGTGGATCTTTGGATAAAAGTGCTCTTTATTTTTATTTGATCTATATATATATATATAAAATTTTGTGAAGGAGTTTTTTGTCTTTAAATACATAAACAAGTAATTGTTAACAACTCTTTGTTTTGTTGTATTGCTCGTCCATATCGCAAAAGGATACAACTACGCATGACTTTTGATTGCTAGACAAGAAGAGGAGCTCCATTTTCTCTGTTGATCAAAGAAAAGAAAACAACAAAACAAGGATTATCGTTGACACATGTTGGGTTATAAACATGGGGCATTAATATTTGAACTACATGCTTCATGGGTCGATCTAACAATCTTGACGACATCGCCATAGTTCTCATTCTTATCTTTTCACCAGTGTGTCGCGCAGTTGAAATAAAATGGGGTGGCAGTAGCGAGCTATCAAGAAACGTGGTAACGATCATATTTACTGCGATTAGAGATCTCATCCAGGCTACCACAAGAAGGCCTTGGATATCAACGGCCTTTAGCATTACACACAGCATTCCTATAGGAGGATACGTTGTCCGTATAAGAATTTGGATCACTGCCCCTATTCGCAATGGCCTCACAGCCTTCACTCCATTTTCTTCCCGAGAATCGGCCTTGGAAATTCGACGCCAATTCTATGATATTCTCTACCGCATTTGGGCACTTGTGGTCGCTGAAGGCGTGGAATACATGACTGCCGTGGAGGGAACCTATGGAATCGAGTACCACCGCAGAAATCCCCGCGACGAGCTGCTTAGTTTTAAGCCCGCAACTCTCTCCCAAAGCGTGGCTAGCAGTGGCAGCGAGAGCGTCTCTAAGGCCAACTTAGTGAGTAACACGCCGTTTAAGTACCTGCGCGATTCGCTAATCTCCACCAGCCTTCGCTATAAGCTGGAGATGCGAGGCGGCTGTTCCGTCGCGTTGTACGACAGAGATTTGAGCGACGATATTTGGGCCAGTGGCACGTACGGACTTGGCTATGGATGCTTCGTGGAGCTCGAGCCCAGCCCTAACCTGGCGATCTATGACGAAGGTGGGAAGCTTGTGACGTATCTCTACCAATCGGGCTGCGATAACTGCGATCAATCGTCAGCGCTTGTCGTCCAGGACGATGGGAATGTGGTGCTCTATCTGACCGACACTGGCGAGGCGATCTGGGCTACCGGGACGAATCGCTGAGCCAGGAAGTCGATTCTTTTGTGCCAAAATTCGAGAAATCAATGTCTCAATTAGGATTTAGGGTTTATGGTTTCTAGGGCAGAAGAAGAATGGCGCAATCTCTCCGCCTGATCGCGCGGCGCGGCGCACAATGCCGGGGCAGGACGAATGCGCTTGGCAGCGGCTGCACCGGATCCTTGCTCCGCCGGGATTTCCATGTAAGCGCCCCGAGCTCCAACAACTTCCTCCTCAACAGCCTCTTCCGCTTTGGCGGCCAGTCCTACCAGCAGCAGCAGCAGCAGCAGCAGCAGGCCGCCGCGGAGGCGCCGCCGCCCAAGGAGGAGCGGCGCGCGCGCAAGCCCCGGGAATACATGGAGCGATCGGCCGACACGCTCTCCTATGTCAAGGACCTCAACATCAAGCAGCGCCTCATGGTGAAGAAGTTCATGAACTCGTGCATGCGCCAGGGAAAGAAGACCAAGGCCCGGACGATGTGCTTCAAGGCGTTTGAGCGCCTGGCGAACCACGGCGACGTTCTCCACATCCTGGAGACCGCGGTAGAGAATGTGAAGCCGATCTGCGAGGTCCGGAGGGTGCGCGTCGCCGGGAGCACGCACAACGTCCCCGCGGCCATCCCGCTCCACCGGCAGCAGAGCCTGTCCATGCGCTGGATCGTCCAGGCGGCCAGGAACCGGTTCAAGGCCAAGAAGAAGATGGGCATGCCCAAGGCGCTGGCGGACGAGCTGCTGGATGCGTCCAAGAGAAGCGGCGCGGCGAGGAAGAAGCGGGATGATCTCCACCGGCTGGCCGAGGCGAACAGGACGCTGGCGCACTATCGGTGGTGGTGACGGTCAATCCAAAGCTTGACAATCCAAAAGCTGGTGGATTCATCCATCCAGAAGTTCTGGTTGACACAGCTCTCCTTTCTCCGAGATCACATTTTCACCGTTTTGGCGACAATTGGAAGAAAAACTTGTTTCGTTCTTGCTATATACCACAACACTTCGCCTCCATGACGTGCTGCGTGTGCTTCGTCTTCAAGAATCCTCCAACTTTTCTCACATCTATGTTTATAGGAACAATCCTGCCAAATAGCGGCCAACTCTTTGACATGCTACATCTCAACATAGCAAGTGTTTACATTTGCAACACAACCATGTCTCCTAAAATACAAATGCATGAGCAGCTCCTTAGCACTGCTCCTCCTGGCCCGGAAAGATTGATCATCCTGTCAATCGAAAGCTTGAAAATAAGAATCACATACTATTTGTGGTGTCAAACCGCCAGATATCCTGCCATGACTACCGCGTCTCTAGGAGGATCAAGCTCTTGTTTTTGAGCTCGTCAAGCTCGAGGTACTAGCGGCTATGGCGATGGTGCTGATAACTGGTTGTGCAGAGGGTGGAGTCTGCGGATTCAAAGTTTACGCCGCCGTGCAAAGCTTGCGAGCTCTAAACGCTTCAGCTGGACGTGACGAGCGACGAGTCCGTGCCATCCTCCGAGGACGTACGCCAGGCTCTGCCGCTAGCCGAGCTTTGCTTTCCAAGTAAACTTCTTGAGGATGTTCCAGGCAGTGGTTCCCAACATGGCGAAGCAAAGGCAGGGCCGGATCATCAACGTCGGCAGGATGTTCTTCGCTTGGAGCTGGCGCCACTGGGATCCAGATGGTGTGGATCATCCCCGGCTCCCAGCTTGGAGCTGTGGCCTAGTGGAAATGTATATTTTATTTTGTACTTTTAGATACTTAAAAATAATTGAAAAATAATATACTAGAACAATCTTTAATTTATGGCATGCAAATCCAAATAAACAAATGGGGCCCACCCTAAATAAAATGGTTGTGCATTCTACTTAATATATCTTTCTTGCAGCGCTTCCACTGGTTTGTCCGGCATGCATTTTGTGCAGGCCTCCTGTACCCTAAAACCTCCATGGCTAAGATCTCTCTGATTTGCATCTCAAACATAGCGGTATCCTTGTTAGCCAGCTTAGGAAAAAAGCAACAGCAGATGCCCCCACAGACTTTGCAAGCAGCACCTCACCATCTCTGATTAGGGAACCAAGAACCCTAAAGCATTTTATACTGTCCAGCGGCAAAGGGGCAACTGATCGGTACGAAATGTGAAATATGGAGCCGAAATCAATCAAGAGCGTCTCATGATGCCTTCTTTGTGGCAGCCAGAAGAAGCTTGGCAGCACACAAGAATACTTTTGAGCATGGCTGGCCACCTGTTCATGACACCAAAGTTCCTCGAGATACTCTGCCAATCGTTCAAACCTCCACACAAAAAATTTCCATGCATGTTTTTAGACATTCCCAAGATTCTGGGTTTCTAATTTCTGGTTCCGTGCTCCACAAACATTTGATGTTGCTCTTCACCTTTAATAGCTTACAACCTCGACATAGAAACCACAGACATCTTATTGTTCCGGGTAGCACCCATGACAGTTACCAAGATTTCGTTGAAGGGTTTAAGTTACAAGATTGGAGTTGCCATTCTTGATGATGGTATGGGTTTGTTTACATAAGTTTGCATGAATGAAATCTCCTATCTTTGTGTGATTGATCTTTCCATCAAGTGAGTAGTAAAATACATTAATGCCTTTGTGGAGTGGGAAAAGGAAAGTATGAGTCTGTGTGAGAGATTTTAGAGTTTTTTTTGTTCTTGGGGTAGTCACTCTTACAATTTATCCTTTAATATATGCAAAAAGGGTTTCTTAAATAACATGCCTAAACGCAATAAACCAAATCTATACATAATGTGAGAAATTGATAAAGTTAATATTTTACCATAAGAACAACATAATCCACTTGCTTATAAAAACTATTACACTCAATGCCCACTTTTGCACTTGCCTCCACACTCCAATCATTTGTAATTACCTTTTCACCAATTGATTGTTAACTAAATTAAGTGTGAGAAATGACACTTGTGGGAGCGATCGATGCACCATGCTTTACATTAATGTATTGCAATCAAAATATATTTCTAACCCACAAGAAATGAGGTAAAACTGCATGAAATGAAAAATAAATGTATTTGACATCATGTTGTTTGAGATCACATGGCATCAAGTCTTGAGTGAGTTTGATGTCTACATGGCATATCTCATGACAAAAATATTATATATACAATCACATTTTAATTGATTTTATAGCCAATTAAAAATTTATTTTATAAATTATTTTAAAAATCAATTAAAAGTGATTTGTGTGCATAATATTTTATATATATATATATATATATATATAACACTCCCAATGTGCAATCACATATTCATAGTTATACCATTTGCCTTTTTCCATTCTATTATCTACACAACCATCCTTATTTGCAGCAATTACCAAACTTTGTGTATTAGTAATTTTTTCCCCTCCAAATAAGTTCAACTATTCCATCTAACATTTGGAAAGGTACTTTATACCATACTCAAAGTACCCACTTGTATCAAAAGCATTTGTAGACACAATATCCCTTATATCTAAAGTCACAGATATTTTTATCTTTACAATGAAAATTATCTATAGTAATAGTTAAATTTGAAGAAATTGTTTTTTCCTCAAAACAAATGTTTGTGTAGCACCAACAAGGAATTTTATCTTTCCCTTGCAAAACTAAGTGATTATATGCTCCACAAGTCACTGTACCTTTCATTGTGATAAGAGATATGTTTCAAGTCACTGCAGCACCTGTTTAGGTATGGAACCATACACTCAATCCTAGCTGCAACTTCTTTATTCTCTTTCAAAACTTTCCTCATCTAGAACTGTAAAAGTCTTCTTCCCAAAACATCTTTGCATAGAAATGGTATCACCCATCAGCTCGTTTTCCACATGACATTTCCTTCACTGCCTACTAGTGATGTACACATCACATCTCCCCTCCAAGCATTCTTCACAATACGCTGATCGCATGCTTTAGACTTAACATCCATCAAGATCTGTGGGCCGTCGAAAGCTGTGCAAAAGCTGCTCCTGGTCCAGGAAAGATGCCACTGCGCAAGGACTGACTGTCACTCTTGATTCTATTGACAGGATGACCAAGTCCAGCCCAGTGGATGAAATTTTATATCAGCCAGAAGTTCTTAAACAACAAAACAAAGAAAAAGGTCATCATTGACTATTGGTGGGATCCAACGTTTTGTGTCAGCTTGGTGGTGGTGGATCCATTCATGATCATCCAAAAGCTCTTGATGGTGGATTCATTCATCAAAGTTACGGTTCCTAGATCACGACTCATGAGGGTTGAAAGTCTGAGGTTGAATCAAACTTCTCAACTGGATCTGCCTTCCCCCTTTTGTTAGATTTGATGGATGAAGATGGGCAGCTTTTCCAGCGATTTGGGATCCAGGCCGAAGTGTCTGTCTTCTTGCTTTCACCAGAAAAGAGAACCAAGACACTGGGACGATTGCAAGAAAAACTATTCTCGCTATATACTACAACGCAACACTATCAAACGCTCAAAGACAAGCCGGAGACACTGTTTACCAGGAAGCTCTCGGGTTTGCTGCTCCCAACAACGCGGAAAACTATCTCCAAATCCGGCCTCACTCTCGCCTCAAAGACTTGCTGGGCATGCTTCCTCTTCAAGAATCCTCCAGCTTCTCTCACATCTCTCGCCGTGCATAAGAGCTTCACTTCCATGTTCATCCCAAATAGAAATCCTGCCACAGTGAGATAAAACTGTTAGCTCTAGAAACTCGATCTACAAAGCCAAGAAAACTTGACGCTAGAAAATCTTCTAGAGAAATGGAAAGAGGTAAAAAACCAATCCAGAGCGTACCAATTGTGTTTCGCAGCCAACTCCTTACGTGCTGCATCTCAATATAGCAAGTGTTGGAACGCTTCACGTTTTGCAAGGCAAGCATGTCCTCGGGCCGGCCCCTGAAATACATGAAGTCTCCCACAGCAATCCCGCCTCCCTCGAGATACAATCTTGAAACAGGTAAAACTTTCGTGTTAGAAAAACCATATGAAAACAAGTAGAAGAAGGGAAATTATTTCTTACTTGTCCCAAGTTGGCGCGGTGCTGAGGATGTACTTGAGCTGCTCGTGTGTCGTGTCCTTGCCGTTCAAAGTCGTCAAGATACTCCTGAACCAGCTCTCCTGGCTCACCTCCTGGTCCAGGAAAGATTGCCACTGCTCCGAGGTGAGAACTTCTGGCTGATACAAAATTTCATCCACTGGGCTGGATTCGGCCCGTCAATCAAAAGCTAGGATCAAAGAGTGAAAGTACCTGCAGTCTGGATTGATCAAAAAGACTTTATAGTCGATAAAATCCGTGGGGAGTTTGACACCCCTTCTCGCAATGTATGCCTCGAGCAGTGATGCGCGGAACTTGGTGTCCTCAACCTACGCATAATAGAGTTTAGTGTAAGAAAACTTGTCCAAGTGAAAAAGAAAAACCAAAGAACTTACAACATCTGGCAGTGTATGCGTGGTGCCATTTCTCCTAATCTGACACCAGCTCCCATCGCGCTGGATTTTCACAGTCCCAGCCCAGTTTTTCACTTCAATCACATAAATCTTCCTGGAAAGAGATCAAGTCATCAAAGAAGCAACAAAGAAAAACTTTACTTTTTGGTGAGTATGACCAGATCAATCTCTCTCCGACCCTTGCGCTCGCTGTCAGGCACCCGCAGCGACTGGAAGACCAGCGCGCCAGACACGCCTTGGAATCTACATGCGCGCCGTGAAGAACGATCCACAACAAAAAAGAAAAAGAATCTCACTCACAGCAGCGCTACTTCGAGCTCGCCTAGCCGCCCCGCCCTGTCCGATTCGTTCTCGGATTCCCTCTGGGGCCGGGACACATCGCGAATCTGCCGGACCCCAGCCAGCAAATGGATCGCTGTGGCCGCCAAAGTGCGCAGAACTTCCATGAAAATATCTCCACATTGCAAGAACCCTAAAATCCAGGCGGGCTCGACGTTTGGAATTCGAGCCCGGGACCTCTAGAGCTCCAATCACTGTTGGGCACGTGTCGAAGCTACCAGCCCAATTGGCAGTACACGGTTAGCTCATTTTTGTGTAATCTGGACTCTTCCGCCACGTGGCAGAATCATCATTTGTCCCCGTTCACACGGCTATCTGGGCCCCGAAACTTATCATACTGGCGAGCGCTTAAGCGTAATATAATCGGATTTTCCGTTCTTCGTTCTCCCTTGTGGCGTCCTCCGGCTAGGGCGCTGTGGATTGCGAGGGCGCGCCCGTCGCGGCTAGTGCACAGGCCGGGCATAATGCGATCCAGAAGTGGCTAGGCGATCGCGCGAGTTTCTTGGTCGATCAATCCACAAGGTATTAGGGTTCTAGCGCAGATTGCTCTAGGCGGTGTTAATTGGAATTTTCTTAGCAGAAGCTATGGCGGATCATAGTCCGCCGCCTGTGGCGGGAGAGATCGACACAACTGCGCCGTTTGAATCTGTCAAGGCCGCCGTGAATCTCTTTGGGGAGATCGCCGATTCTAAAGCTTTGAAGTTTCCTAGTGCCGAGGTACTCGCTTAGATTTTTTTCTCTTTTTTCTTCGTGTGATCTGATAAATTCTCTGTTTTTCTTCTCAGAAGCGCGCATCGCTGGAGCTCCAGCAGCTTCGCGAGAATTTGGCGGCGACCAGACAGCAGCTCTCTCAAGCGCAAACGTCCAAAAACGCTCTTTTCCAGGAGCTGCTAGAGACCAAGCGCCTTGTCGAGTTTAAAACTTCTCAGCTCGCCAACGTTTTATCGTCCAAGCCGTCGAGTTCAGAGGTCGTCCGCCAGGCGGAAGAAACGTACACGCAGATCGATGCTGTGTCAAATGTTGTCCAGGAGAAATACGAGGAGGCAGTCGCGAATTTGGCCACCACGGAAATGGAGGTTGAAAGGCTAAATGCTGAGATAGAGAGCTCGGTGGCTGCGCTGGAGGAGCAGCAGCAAGGCCATCAAGGTGAAGAGAAAAACTCGTTTTTGGCAGAGAACGCAACAGAACCTCCACAAATCGTAGATAACACGGAGGGGCTTAAGAACGAGCTAGCTGCGACAAAAGAGTCCGAAGAGAAGCTGCTGGAGGAGATCGCCGGCTTGAGATCCAAACTCGACAAGGCGAAAGCCGAGGTAGAAGAAGCTCGGGTTTCAGAGACGAAGGCTACGAAAGCTGCAGGCGACGCGGCTCAGGAGCTCGCAAATTTGAGATCGAAACTAGACACTTTGGTGGAGGAGAAGAACACGCTCGCCGCTCTTTCCGAGTCGCTGCGAGACCAGCTCGTCAAGGCAAAGATGGAGCTGGAAGCTCTCAAAGACGCTGCCGAGTCCGAGGCCCTGCCTTCGTCAAGCGCCGCGGCGGAGCTGCAAAAGGTCCGAACCGAGCTCGCAGCACTGGTTGCGCTGGAGGCCAAGGCAAAAGACACAATCGCTGGAGTTTCACAGGCTTTACAAAAGGTGACGTTTGAAGCGGACGAGTCCCGGCTAGCCGCCGAGGCCGCTCTGGAGGAAGCCCACAAAGCAAAGCAGGAGCTCGAGGAGGCCAAAGCTGCGGCATTTACAGCCGAGAGCCGGCTCGAGGCAGCGACGAGGGAGGCTGCGGCTGCCAAGGCCGGCGAAAGCATGGCTCTCGCTGAACTAAAGATGCTCTACGAGAAGAAATCATCGGTGGAAGATATCAGCTCTCCCAGCGACAAGGAGGCGCTCGGCAAATCAAAGAAAGAGTGTGACAACCTCCGGAAAAGGCTCCAGGAGGCGGAGGAACTGGCGGAGATGAAAGTAGCGGCGGCGCTGGCCAAAGTTGACGCTGCAAAGGCGAGCGAGCGGGAGATCCGAGCGAAGCTGGAGGCCGTCCGGGGCGAAGTCGAGACGAACAGATCGATGGCGAAGCAGGCGCTCCACCGCGCCGAGACGGCCGAGGCAGCGAAGTCGGCGATAGAGAACGAACTGAGAAGAAGACGCAGGCCCGCGGACCACTCCACTGGAGTGGCTTCGTCGACGACGTACAGAGGAGGATCTCCCTTGCAAGCCGGAGCGACGGTGCAAACTCCGGACCGAAGGATGGAGCCGCTACACCATCACACGATGGCGAGGAGGAGCTTGGACTACACCGCGACCGATCACAGCTTCGTCTCGGCGGACGTCTCGGCCGAGTCCATCGCGCAGCTCCTCCAGCTCAAAGTTTCGCCGCTCAAGACGTCGCTGCCGATCGCGGAGAATCCCGAGAAGTCGGACAAGTCGGAGAAGAAGAAGAAGAGCAAGCCGTTTATGAAGCTGGGATCTTACTTGAGCAGGAGGAAGAGCTCAGTTGGATCCACTTCTCCCAGGATGTGAGCGAGCGAGCTCGCGAGATCGCGCGCATTGGGGTGGAGTGGAGAGATTTTGGTCGCGGCTTCCCACAAGTTTGGAAGAAAGACAAAGGAGCGCTTCCGAGAAGCTTGGAAGAACAAAGATTTGCCAAAAGCGCGAAGAAAAACTACACACACAAAGTTACAAACTAAGAAAATGTGGAGGTAATGTATTAAATTTTTTGGTGTTGTTGTATTGCTGTGAATAAATCTAAACCATGGAATAGATCGAGACACGTGGGTGGCCAGTATTATTTCGTGGCGGATGAGGAGGGAAAAACATATTTTAGGGCTCTTCCACTTCCAGCTCGTGATCTCGCGAGCAATGACGCTCATCAATCTCTTCAGGAGGTACGAGCGCTGGAATCCCGTGCATCCCACGTATGGCGCCTTCTGGGGGATTGGATTCGGGCTGGGCTGCGGCGTGGGATGGGGGCCGGGATTCGGCCCCGAGGTCATTGGCTATGTCGGCTCTGGATGCGGCGTGGGGATCAGCGTGGGAGTGACAATGGTGGGAGTTGGAGTTGGGCTTCCCGCTGGCGGCCTCGCTTGCGTCCCTTCCGACGGTATGTTCTTGGTTTTCAGCTCAATTTCTCGATCTAGTTTGCTAGAATTCCTGCATTTTCTGCCTAGCTCTATCCTTCCACAAGGAAAGTGCCTGTTTGAGCTCGATTTCTCTGCCTTGCTAGTAAGAATCTCCCACGAGAAAGAAAGGCCGGATCTCCAATCTCCGAGAAACTCGTGTTTCTCTCAGGAAAGATTGGAGCTGGAGCTTTGATACAATCCCTGCCTTACTTTTTTCTTTGGCTCTTGATTCTTTGCAGATGTCTCGTAGGAAAAGTCCTAGTTTTCATGACGATACTGCTCATCTAGGTGGATGCTTGTGTGTGAGTTACTCTTAAATTTCGGTGAAATCAGTGTTTCTTCCTTTTTGTGCTTCCATGTGTTTGATGATCGCTTGTACGCTAACGTTTACCAGTCATTTCCTGCTTTTGGGCTTCTAGAGTTCTCACTCATGCCTTTTCTTCTTTGCAGTGGTCTCATACGCGGGTCACGGGATCATGGATTTCACAAAGTCGACCGCAGCTCCAGCAGCATCGATCGCTGTAAAGCGGGGATGGAGTGCGTTGTGTCTGCACATAGGAACAGCTCTAGAGCGAGGTCGACTCGGGCATTCCAGTCGCAAGAGCTACAGTCTCGATGAGTTCCAAAGGCAATCACTGGTGGCCCTGAGGCAAGGCTGGGATTCATTCAGTGGCAAAGTCCGGAGTGCCGGATTGTCTCGCTTGCGGCCATGCAATGCCGGTCTCTTGCAGAGCGATTCTAATAGTAACCAGAGTGAGAGACCGCCTCCACCATCTTAGTGCTTCTTCTTGAGTTGATAGGATTGATTGCTAACTTCGGTTTTGTACGTAAGCTGTTCCATTTTCCTGTAAATAATAATATTAGAATTAGTGATTTTGTTTTTATTCGAAGAACTGACGTTATGGCGAATAATCAGCGAGGACGATCAAGACAAAGAAAGCAATTGATTGAGCAAAGCAGTGATTGGCTCTTGCTCGAGCTTCAAGTTCTCGTCGGTCGCGTAAACCACGCAAGCCTGAGCCTTGGAATGAAAAATTTGCGAAAGATTGTCAATGGTGTTTGGAAATAAGTAATTACAGTTTTATAACTTAAAAACTGACTCCCATGACAAGCCGAGGAGAAAGAAGACGAGGTGATTGCTTTTGTTCAGTTCCACTGCTTGAGAAGGCAAATCTTTGTCCTCCGTCGTGAAAATGCTGGATGGATTGGAAGAAGTTCCACTGTCGCCCAAGCTCTTCCACAATTCCGATGAAGATCACTCCTGGAGAAAAGGTTCTTTATGTACTCTCCAAACAGGCAAGATTTGTAGGCTGCTGGATGCTCCGAGTCTACAAACTTGTGAATCGGAGAGACTAGAATATTACGAGCTGGATTGCGTGGTGTGCCTCAAATCCAAACGTGGCACTGTTATCACTGGAGCTACCAAAGAAAGCCACATCAAAGCTTAGATCTTTCTTCTTTTTTTTTCCAGCTTGTCGAGAACGTGAAGGCGCTGGACGAGCTCTATTGGTGATAGAGGTCATGAAAATTCCTGGTAAATAAAAAACTAGAAGTCGTCGCCTGAGAGATTCGAACTCTCGCGGGGAAACCCCATGTACTTAGCAGGCACACGCCTTAACCACTCGGCCAAAGCGACACTTGATCAGAAAGTCCTTCCACTGTAAACAATCGTCTCGTCCTTTTTATCTTCAAATTCTCATGATCGGGTAGTTTTTCTGTGATATAGCCCCTATAATGTCCAGGTTCGTTTCCATTGCACAAGAAAAATCGATTAGCACTTTGAATCATCATATGACTTCAATCATGTTGGAACAAATGCTCTCAAAAAGCTGAATCTCACAGAAAAGAGAGTTTACCTTTGACTTGTGAGAAAGCCAGTGTGTCCATTGGTTTGTAAGGGTGTGCTCATGTTTGGAATGTCCCTATTTGGTCTTTGTTTCTCATACTAGTCCGAGAGCTTTCTCTCGGGTGGAGGCAGCAATCCATCTTCATCCTCTTGCCGTCCTTGGCGAGTGTTAGTGAAGAACTTCTTACGAACCTCACGTGGAATAGTTAATCTAGAAGCGTAAAAACTTTACCGTGTAACCTTAGCTGACTAGCTCTAGAAGACAGGGTTTGAGAAAAGCTTTTTATACACATTTTGTGTTTTTCCATTCAATTGCTGTAAGCGTAGGCTACTATGATCCCCACTGAGGTCATTTCCGTTTTGAGCATAAGCCGCGATCAGCGTTCCAGGCCACCAGGAGCTGGCTAGAAGACATAAAAGCAGCGTCAACCTGGTTGCGAGGTTAGCCCCAAGCATCGAGCAAGCAGCAAGAGCTCCAGCGCAAGTCCGGTTTGATCCCTGCGGAGCTCATCTCCCTGTATAGCCGAATCACTTCCGAGCTAGCTGGGCGTAAGCTGCCAGCATCGCGTTCCAGCAGTTTGCGCTGGGCTGACTTGCCTGAAAACTAGGCACGTGAGATCCAGCCTCCTGCACCTTGCGGACATGGAGACTAGCGCAGCCTCCATAGAGTATGACTATACCTGTCTCCCCTAGGTCTGGACTCCTTCCATGATCATCAGCCGGTAGAGCGTCACCACCTTGAAAGTACGCCTAGATCAAAATCCATCCTCCAAATCCCTGAGCTCCAAACAGGCACTTGACAAGTGTTCCACACCTTGACCACCTTTGCATCCTTGTAGAAAATCTCACTCGAGCCTGCCACACGTGTTGATGAGTGCCGCCACAGTGAAAGTCGTGTCGCTGGCTTTCAATCCGAAATCCTCGTAGAGATGTCGTTGGTCGAATCTGCCCGCCTTGGGCATATGCCGCGATCATCAAGTTCCCTCTATCCGATCGAGGCCTCTCGCAACCTCCCAGCGCGAATACATCTTCACGAACCCAACGTCCACAACTATCCCGGAACCCGGTACCATCAATTCACGAGTCTTTCACTCTATATATAAGCTATTTCTGACTGTGGTGCGTGATTCCTGGAAATCTGAGCAGATCAATAATTGCTACTTTCCACAGTCTGGGCCTGGATGAAAGCAAAAAAATCTCGTTCCCAAGAAAAGAGAAAGCAGCCCTTGCTCTTCTGTTCTGTCCCGGTCGCATTCTCCTTCCCAAAGGCGACAACCAGTTGGACTTTCGAAAACGGTGAGAATTTTTTCTGGCTAAGCTCGTTGTCGACAAAATTTTATATAATTTAACATGCACATTTCTTATCATCCAGCTTGACCTTTTTGGCCATCAAACTTTGCTCTGCTTCTTCCTGATCGCCTCGCCTTCGCTTCAAGCTCGGCTCCAAAACCATCTTCTTCGTCTCCAGATTAGGCTCGCCACCCCCCTCCACCAAATTAGACAATTTCTGTTGTCGTGCAGAATGCTTGACTACCCATGGATGCTTCTCAATTTCATGGATTGGCAGCCTCTTTCTCGGGTTCAAGTGGAGCAGCTGGAGAATGAGATCTTTGGCTTCCTCGGTCACATCCGTCCAGTCAAGAGAACTCAACGGCACATCCTCCCTCCCCATGCATAATGCAATCGTCCCAGACAATATCTCGTACAAGACAATGCCCATGCCCCACACATCTACCATCTCATCATACTCATCAGAATTCACCATCTCCGGGGCACTGTACATTTGCGTCCCAGCCAAGTTGCTCATTCTAAATTTTATGCCTGGCCCCTCGCTCAACCAACGCACTCCAAAGTCTGCCAATTTTACACTATCGAACTTCTCCTCAAACCCTGTTGTCAGTCTTGATGTCCCTGTGAGCCATGCCCATGTCATGCATTTTTCCCACAGTCCTAGCCACATTCTTGATCACCACTGCTGCCTCATGCTCGCTCAGTTTCTTCTTTTTCAACAACACCTCAGTCAACGAGCACTGGCATTGGTCCATGAGGAGGAAATAGTGATCTTCGTCCTTGAAAACATCCACTAGTTGAACCACGCCACTCCTCTCTTTACTCTTGGAGAGTTTTGTGAGTACTCTGATCTCCAATTCAGCTTGGTCTTCAAGAGTAGTCGACTTGCAAGCAAACAATCGACCATCACTCTTACGTTTCACTTTGTACACAATGCCCTCCCCGACCCAATTCCTTTTCCACCGAGAACAAGTCTCTTATGCTTGCCTGGTTAAACTCCATTGCCTCCATGGATCGCACGAGTGCCCTTTGCTCGTCCATCAATCTCTTTGATTCAGTGCTCTCCCGTTCCTGCTCTTGTGGGAGAGGCAGTTTAAGTAACTCATAGAGCTCCTCTTTCACCGAGTAACCCATCTAAGTCGATTCCTTGAAACTGAGCGTCAAGCGCCATCCCTTGAAAGTTTCTTTAGCCCTACTCTTGCTTTTTTATAAATTTTTAACTAACATTTTCTTTTATACAAAAAGGCTAGAACATGAATCTTCTCACTTTTCTGACCAAATGGTCAAATGCTTAATTTTAGAGCTCGAAGACAATTTTCCTTTAGGAACTTTTCTCCCTTGAATTCCCGTAGAACAGTGTCTGACTAAAAGACAGCTGCCAAGGAAATAACGGTGCCTGCGAGCCAAACAATCTCAGTGGCGTTCAAGGAACATGGACCTTTATACTGCAGTGCTTGCATCTGTTCCAAATCCGCGAGCGCTTCCACTTGAGCCTCCAAACTCCTGCCCTCCCAGAGGGGTTTCTGTGTCTAGGACTATAACAACGGACAAACATGAATGACAGTCCAATACCACACTAGCATGTCTTTTAAATCCGAGATGGGTTCAGACGAGAAAGTTCCGTCTCCTAGTCTGGTGTAATTAGATTCGTGCCTAATTCTGTTTGTTTCGTCAATGCTTGATCATGCTTGATCGATCTTGCTCGATATGGCGATGAGCGACTGCAATGTATTAGTTTTCTGCAACAGTGTATTGATTTAGCATGATGCAGAAATTAATATTCAAATGCCAAACACCTTTTCAATGTCGTGAATTAGAGAAGCCTCCAGCTTTTACAAATTAGAGATATCACTCTTAAGCTGCTTGGGCAACGATTTATGATGCGAGCGCGTTGCTGCCAGTTTCGGTAAACACTTGGTTGATCTTCTGATCTATATGCGTGCACCTGTTAAGAAAAAAAAAAACCAAGTTAAATGCGTAAAAATATTTTTTTAAAAACCATCTCCATTTTCACTATTGTCATGGACTTGAGCTTTAACCGTAGCATGAAACAAACAACAAGGTGCTAACCTTCTATAGTGCTGCAACGAATAAAAATTGTGGCGACGTGGGGGTCCAGCAAATTTTATATCCTTCCAATCGTCTATACTTGTCCAAATGCTTTGTGTCAAACCTCAACTTCTTGAGGAGAAGAACCACATCCGAATAAGATGCTCTGATTTCCACAGAGATATTGTCAGTATCAATTCCAAACTGCAAACAAACTTTAAGTTTCCAGAGAGATAGATAGACATTTTTACAGTCACCACAGCGCCCGGGACGCTACTACCTCTATGACTATTTCTTACTCTCCCTCTCCTCCATCCAAAACGTTGGACACAGTGATCAAGCAATGTATAGCAAGAAGAATCTCGGTGGTAACCAGTTCTCCAAGTTTTCGGGTCCTCAAGGTGTCCTTCTAAAGGTGTGCATTTTTTTAAAATGCCATCTTGTTGTCCGTATACATGCTCTCTCTCAGAGTTCGAGCCAGTGTTTATTTAGTCGTCTCTGCGGCTTGTTTCGTCTTGTCTCTCATCTACAAGATTCGTCTCAACACCACATCTTTGATTCCAGAGTTTTTATTTACCTGCTGGAGCATATTTCCTGAGCAGTGCCTTTCATATCCTGCACAGCGACAATCTCCGAATGAAACGAAGAAGGAGAATAAACAGAAAGAAACAATAAGACTTCACCTCTTTCTTCTGATCAGCTTGGAGAGGTTTCTAAGCATGATTTCTTCTTGCTTCAGCTGCAAGTTATTTAAAACTAATTACCTTTTATGATATATATAAATTAAGCCTCCTTTTGTGAGTATAAAAGATCTCAAAGAACTACTAGGCCTTTCTCATTCTTTTAGTCAGTAAAAGGGCAATGGAGTATAATTGTCAAAGAGATTGTTGAAGAAGTGTAAGAGGCATGCTGAAGACAATAAAAACAAACTCAAACATCATCAATTTGACATAGAGCATAAGGATTATAAGTCTTCATTCACACCTTTTGACTTGGAGGCAAATTTGGATTCTTTGTATAAGAAATGATAAAACACCCCAAGAGGAGGCTTCTTAAATGGATGGTCCATATATTATATTATAATAATTAGTGTGTGTGTATGTATGTATATATGTATAAATGTATTTATATGTATTTACAGATTTTATATTTTCATTAAAAAACTGAGTAAATTTTAGAAATTATTATATTTATATATTATTACCAATTTTCATGTTATAAATTATTTAATATTTAAAATAAACCAAACATTAAAAAAATTATTAATATTAACTTTTATATAAAAATATTTAATAATTTACAACTTATTGTAATTCACTTACAAACTTTATGAGATACAACTATTAAAAAAATATTTCAATTTTAATTTATTATAAGTCTATTAATTTGTAATTTTTATAATAAGTTATAAACTATAACTTATAACTATAAGGTAGTATTACTGTTTTTTTTTACAAAAATTTTATCAATCAACTATGCCAAACAAATATCTCTTAAATAAAAATGTATTTTCTGATGTTTAACTTGTAAATTAATAGTTAAAACACTAAAAATTTATAGGTATATACATTGGTATAATTATATTTATAATATATATAAATAAATAAAAATAAAAACTCTTTTTATATTAAAAATTTAATATTTTAATTTTAATTTGTAGTGTGAGGGCTAAGTGTACAGCTACAATGCCGTATACTAATATTAGCATAGTGGGATTTTGGTAGCCGTCAGATGGGTTTCAATCCGGACCACTTGCTCCTGTATATAAGCTAGGGTTTTTGGGCTAATTGATATGCATATTTCTGTATTCCCTTTCCATATTCCATGCACTCACATTGGTGGACGTGAGGGGCACCTTTGATTGTCCCTGGGGAGTGCTTAAATTTGGGATTTCAGTTTAGATCTAGCTTTTACATTGTCTAGATCTAGCTTTTTCCATTTCCTTTATTTTGTTCTTTCCTTTCAGGATTTTGGTTTAGATCTAGCTTTTTGCATTGTTTAGATCTACCATTTCCTTCTAGCTTTTTGTCATTTCTCTTCTTTTGCGCTTTCTTTTTCATTCGTCTCCATGGCAGATCAGCAATCTCCTCCTTTGACTCTAGAGCAGCAGTTGGTACAATTGCTTGATGCTATGCGTTTGCAATTGAGCAACCAAACTCAGTTGATGGCGGCGTTCATGGCACATGGTACAACTCCTCCTGCTCTTGGTGCCAATCCTTGTGTTCAGCCAGAGTTCTTTCGCGGGAATCCTGGGGATGATGTGTACCACTGGTTTGATCACTTTACAGTGATTACCACATATCATTCTTGGGATGATGCTTGACGTTTGTGTGAGTTTCTCACGTGTCTCCAAGGGACGGCATTGCAGTGGTACAACGGTTTAGGAGCAGCCACTCACGGGGATTGGAGTGTTCTTCCGGATGTCTTCAAACGCACCTTCAGACATGCCGATGACTGTGATGATGCTTTCTAACAATTGCATTGTCTTCACCAAGGGCCATCTGAGTTGGTGATGCAATTTGGTGTTCGTTTCTGAAGTCTTTTGCTTCGTGTGGAGCCAAATATGTCAGAGCGGATCAAGTTAGGAATGTTGTGGCTAGCACTTTGGCAAGATCTTGTCGGACTTGTGCATGCACTTGCTCCCGCCACCCTTGACGATGCTCTTCGCTTGGCACAACGTTATGATACGTCGCCTCTTCCACTTCTCGCTCCTTTAGCTCCACTTTCTATGGGTGATGGTCCTGTTCCAATGGAGGTTGATGCTGCTACTGCTCGAATCCAAGGTCAAGGGCGAGGACGTGGTCATGGCCGTGATGTTCGTTGCTGGGCATGTGATGAATTTAGTCATACTTATCGGCGTTGTTGGCATTTTCCGGATTGGCGACCTTCATTTCCTGGGTGGAGACCTTGGCATCAGCAATGTCCCGTTGGTGCTGCTACAATGGAAGGTTTGGACACCGAGATGCATTCGGGAAACGAGGAGTTCCGCGAGTAATGGAGGGACCTTGCGCGAATAAGTTAGTGACCCCTCCATATTTCTTTCAGGAGTATCATCAAGGGGTTCACTCAGCACCAGTTCATCCAGTGTTTACTTTCCAAGCTCGTCTTTATAACAAGAGGTCTCCTATTATTCTCTCCGTATTGGTTGATACAGGTTCGAGTTTATCTTCTATTGCTCGACCTGTTTCCACACGTTGTCGTCTACACTTGGATCATGCGGTAGAACCAGTTTTCATTCTTTATGGCAACGGCCATACACATGCATGTGCACGGGATGAGGCAAACCTAGTTGTGCGTGTGGGTGATCTCGAGCTTGAGTTGTAGTAGTTGATCGCACTGCACCATTGCGAGCGTTACTGAAGTCATCAACGTCATCTTTCATTTGGTCTCCGGATTGTGAGCGGGTGTTCAGGGATCTCAAAGAATTATTAACAACTCCTCCAGTTTTGGCATATCTTGACTACACTCGACCTTTTATTTTGCGCATGGATGCTTCTGACATTGGTCTTGGAGGTGTGTTAATGCAAGAGAGCTCGAGTGTGCTTGGTCAGCGCCATCCCATTGCATATATAAGCCGTACATTATAACCAGCGGAGATGAACTATACGATAGAGAAGGAGTGTTTAGCAGCAGTCTGGTTCGAGAAACTTCATGCATATCTACATGGTTCTCGGATATTACTTGAAGGTGACCATGCTGCTGTTACTTCGTTATTAAAGCGGAAGAACCTGGTTGGTCGTACTGCTTAGTGGGCTTTGAAGCTTCAAATATATGATTTTGATGTTGTTCACCGCCCAGGAAGTTCTATGGTTGATGTTGATGCCTTTTCTTAATCTCCTCTTCCTTCTTCACTCTCTTCTCATGTTTCTGACGAGCCTGTCATTCTAGCATCTGTGGATTTTCTAGACAAGGATCCCGTGCCGTCGGCAGTTGTTGTACTTGACGTTCAATGTCCACAAGGTGTAGAGCAAAATCTACCTTCGCTTGATACGGTTCGCGAGGCTCAAAAGATTGAGCCATGGATTTGAAGGCTTCGGGATGGGTTTGAGAATCCGACATCACTTGCTGATGACTTGCCTTTCTGG